AGGATTTAGTTGTATTGTTAAAACTTTGAAGAGTACGTAGTAGTTTTACTCTTATATTGTTTAAGATATTCAAGTGGTTTAATTCATTTTGTGACATTTGATTTGATTTTTGTGAAAACATTTGTATTAGTTACTTTTGTGTTGATGGGCTGAATTTTCTGCATTGTTGTATTCCATTATATCGTTAACAATCAAAATTAATCTTGAAAATTTAAAGCCTTTTTGAATCGGTTATTTTCAATAACCGATTCAAAAGCTAATCTTTTGCATCGGTTATTACTAAAAAACCGATTCAAATGCCCCTACCCAGAAATGGCGCCATATTTGGGTAGGAGCATTTGAATCGGTTATTTGTAATAACCGATTCAAAAGATTAGCTATTGAATCGGTTATAACAAATAACCGATTCAAATGCCCCTACCCAAATATGGCGCCATTTCTAGGTAGGGGCATTTGAATCGGTTATTTAGTAATAACCGATGCAAAAAGCCAACTTTCAGAACTGGCGGTAATTATTTTAAAGGGTTTTTGCATCGGTTTTAGCAACCGATGCAAAACGTATCGGAGTATTTGCATCGCTGGCTTTTGCATCGGTTGGAAACCGATTTAAAAGGGTCCAAATAACCGATTTAAAAAGTCATTTTTGTACTAGTGCAATTGTCTGTGAGATATGATTTTTTTGGCAGAGTTGTTTATAATAAGTTAAGAATACTCGTTTTAAACAATAGTCTAGCTCTTAAGCCTAGAACTATTTTAAAAGTTCAGAGAAACAATAATCTTTTTTACAATAAAAATGTATACGCTCTCTAACTTTACTTTCATACTTTCGGGCAAAATTTATACAACAATCAAATAACCATTGCTTCAAACAATTAAATGGACATTTTTAATATGCATCAGATCAAGAAAATGTCTGAACGATAAGCACTCCCAATAAGGTAGTTTCCAAAATATTGATCTTTTCTTCCAAATTGGACCGTTTGGATCATTTTTCTGTGTCTTACCAAATGTATGGTTTATGCTTGATAAGTCGGGTTTGTGTTAGTTCTTTTTATTCAATTTTATGCTTTTTTATTATTTTTAGAATTTAATTTTTAGTTATTTTGCTTAGTTTTACTTTTATTCCAACTTTTACAATCTTTTAATTTTCTTTAAAAAATAGTAGCTTTTTAATCATTTTTTTAACATTTTATTATTGTCTTCATTTTATTTTATTTTTCCTAACCCAAAATTATGAGATATCTTATTTTTGGAGAAAAGTGTAGCAAAAGACAAAATTGGAGCTCAAGTTTAAAAGGAAGCAATTTAAATTGGGCCGGAGCCCAAACCCATCAACAACAAAATTGGCCCAAGACTCCATCCTCCTCTTAAGTTTCACGCACGAAAGAAATAGTCAGCGACTTCGACTTCTTCTTCGGCGATTGAAGGACCAATTTCTTCACGCTCCAACATTCGGCTCCTTCAATTTAACGACAATCAATTCTCAACGGGAAGTAATTCAACAGTAAATTACTCCTTCTTTCTATAAATTAGAGCAACATCAACTCAAAAGAGGGAGTGGGGGAACAACGGGGGAGGGTATCGCACCAAACAGAAAAGTGAGCAGCGGCTTTGGCCGCTGCAATTGACGCCACCGGAGAAGGAAGCAGTCGGCGGCCGACCACGGCTCGCCGGCGTTCGACGATGGTCGGCGGTGATAGGTGTGGCAGTTTCTTCAAGCTCCAATTTCTTCAAGTTTTCTTCATCTTCTTCAACAATTGGTAACCCTATATTTGTCAATTCATTTTTCTTCTCCAATTTCTTTGTAAAAGTGTTGTTTCAATTCAAATTTACAGTTTTTTTTCTTGTTGTGTGAATTTCAAAAATTCTAAAATGGTTGGTGTTCTTTTATGGGTTTTTTTAATATTATATTAAATCCCTTATGAATGAAAATTGATTCTTACTAGTTTCTTCAATTTTTGCGCAAGTTGTTAAATTGGTTGAATTATAAATTTGATTTCATAAGTAGGTTGGTATGTCGAATTCGGTTATCATTGAAGCTAATTTAGCTCCATATTTTAGTTAAATGATTCTCGAATTCATACGTGACTCTTTTTTGTGACTTGTGTTTTGTAAAATATTAAGGTAAATGAACTTCTTAGCCACATAAGTTGAACGTTTTCCTTAAGATTCGTTATAAAGTGATTGTTTATGTCTTGGTGTTCTTGTTTGTTATTTTCATAAAAATTGGGATTGTTTAAGCGCAATAAACAACTCTTGATTTAATGAAAATATGTAATGTTCTCTTATGTGAATAGATTAGAATTCTTATGCTTAAGTTGTTCAAGGAGACCTGCAAAATATTTTCATCATTAGACGTTAAAGTTTATTAAAGTGTATCAAATGTTCTTCATGAATACTTTGTGCATGGGAGTTAGAATGAAAGAAAGATTCGCTCTTTTATAAACTTTTTCATCTTTTTGGAATCATTATTTGAGCGCTTGAGGTGAGTGGGGGTTCAAAGTAACCAAAAGGCCTTTATATCTTTGACTCCGGGCCTTATAGAGAGTTGACGATCCTCTATATGTTGTCAAGGATATGAATCAACTCGAGCCTTTGAATTATTTTCTATTCTTAAGTGCGTAAGTTACGTAATATATTGTCTAAGTGCCTATTTGTAACGCCCCGAAACCTGGCCCAAAAGAATTAATTAAAGAGAAATTTACCTAAATAGGAATAAAACATAATGACTTTCCCAAAATAGGACCATATGTTTTTATTTCCCAATGTAGGACCTTTGGTCATTAACAAGTAGTCATTATTCAACTAAATGTCCATCATTACTGGACATTATTCCTTCCACCAGGTCATTATTAAGTCCTATTTAGGGAATAAAAAAATTTAAGTCCTACATTAGGAAAGTCATTATGTTTTAATCCTATTTAGTGCAAATTTTACTTAATTAAATTGTTAGAGCAATTGATTACGAATTGGGCCCAATAAGGGGTTAAAATTATAATTTGGATTCTAAGCCCAACTTTTATGTCATCTCGTAGGAAATATTTTTGTGATCGCGTCGGTTCAGACGGCTCGCGAATCGGAGTTATGGAGCTCATGTTATGACCATTTAATCAGGTATTTTGGGTCCGAAGCCCAATCCTTTTTGGAATGGGACCATTAAATAAACCTAAACCACACAAACCTTATCTTCTTCGTTCGTCCTTCTACTTCTTCTCCCGTTCTTTTTCTTCTTCTTCTTTCTTCTTCTTCTTCTTCTTTCTTTCTTCTTCTTCTTCGCCGTCGACTTGCAGCCGCCAGTCGCTGCCCAGCATCGCCAAGCTGCCGCTCCTCGTCGCCGTCCAATTGGAGCAGCCAGCCGCCGGCGTCGCCGCTCATCGCCGCTCATCACCGGTCGCCCTTGCCCAGCCAATCGCCGTCGCCGAGCCTCCAGCCGCCGTCGCCGAGCCTCCAGCCGCTGTTTCACCTTCGCCGGAAATCCGCCATCATCGCCGACGAATTGCAGCGCCGCCACGCCGAGCGCTGGACGTCGCCTCCACTGCCGGCGTCCTTCCTCGCCGACGAATTGCAGCGCCGCGAATCGCTGCTCATCGCCGTCGAGTTGCCGCTCCGCCACTGTCGCCGGCGTCCGTCACCGTCGCCGCATCCGGCCGCTGCCCCGAGTTGATATCGCCGGCAGATTAACCTCCACGCCGGATTGATTGGTCGATTTCGTATTTTGACTCAATTTGACCCGTTCGTTTGATTTCGTTGATTTGTCTTCCGTTCGAGCTATCGATTCGATTTCGACGTAATCCAGGTCCGTACTATGAAGTTAGTAGCATTTAGAATAGATTTAATGGTTTGGATCGTTATATGTGTTTATGCTATAATTTGGCTAAATTGGTTAATTGAATTAAATTGATTATTTGAATTGAATTGTTGAGGATTGTGAATTGACTGAACAGGTTTGACTTTGACTTGGGTTAGGTCACGTTTGACTTAAGCTTTGACTGGATATTCTGTCGACGTAGGTTTGACCGAATGGGTAAATCTAAAACTTTAATGAATTAGTTAAGTTAATTAATTAATTCTAATCGGTGATTAAGGTCAATTGGTTTATTGTGTCGAACATAGAAACTGGCCATTGCTCGGGCGGCTGCAGGGCCTGGTCAGTGAGGTTAAGACGTCCGCACGAGGGTCTGTGATCTTGGGTTTGAGGCTATCGCCCGAGGGATCCTACCTCCACCGAATTGAGGCTATCTTCGGTATTACGGATTGAGGCTATCTCCGTCATAGGCATTAAATGTTAAGTGGTTTGACTTTGGTGAAAGTCTAAATTGGTTTGACCAGTGGTCAAAGAGTTCATGAGAAACCCGTAACACCTAAATCGTTTTGAAAAGAAAGAAAATAAGTTGACTGTTGGTCAACCGTCTAAAGAACCGAACGTAAAGTTGAATTGATTTTTATTAAAAGGATAAACATATGTACGATCTTAATTGTTGAATTATTATGTTTATTCTTGTGCTACAATGGAGTACCACTCAGCGTCAATGCTGAGCGGATAGCGTTGTTTTCCTTTTTGCTGTCCGTAGGTGATCAGATAGATGAACCTAGAGCCGATCCCAGAGGGCATTGAGGAGGAGATGTACGATGGCGTGGCTGTCTCTTTAATCTGTTGATATGCTTTATTTAATTAACTTTAATGCTTATTACGTTTTCGGGCAAGATCCCAAGTTGTTTGAATTTAAAAAGGCTTCTGCATTATTTTAAATTACTCCGATGGATTTTTATATGTATTGATAGAACGTTTGTTTAAAATTGTTTTGAAAATGTCGCAAATTCGGATACCAATTCAGTGGCACACCGGTCCGCTGTCTCACGGGTTTGGGTCATGCGGGTTGGGGTGTTACACTATTATACGTGTAATGTTCGTTTTGTGTTCGTTCTCTTTTTAATTTTGTTTCGGGTTTTTGGCGGTGTTTCTTGGGTTACCTTAGTTGGAGAAGTTGATTATCATTTGAGCTTGTTTCCCCCATTTTTATTAAAAAAACCAAAAAAATAAGAAAATATAAAAAACCAAAAAAATATTTACTTTTCATTCAAACCCCCCCCCCTTTGTGTACTAAGTTTATCTATAAGTGTTTGTCTATAAGTTATAAATATAAGTTTTTTATATTTTATTTACTTTTATATATTTTAGTATTTGTTATGAGTTTATAAGTTATATTATAAGTTCTTTGTTTATATAAGTTATATTTATATGTTTTTATATTTATTTAATTATAAGTTTTATAAGTGTTTTAATATGTGTAGTAGGTAGTTTGTTTTATTTCGTGACAACGTGTTTACATACTAAATTGGTTTTAAAAAGTACAACATTTCTCCGTGAGATCAACCCTTACTTGCCCTAGCTATAGTTTTTATTTGATTATATTTTGGGGGTTAGCTAAGGTTATTTATAATTTTTTAATTTGTTTTGGACCGCACGACAAGTCATCAACAATGCTCTTCAACTTTTCATGCAATGCTTTGCTAGTCAATACTTTCGGAGCAACCTCATTTTCGGCATGACCATCGAAAGCTTTTCTCATGCAACGGTAAGGATGTTGACGTTTTAAAAAATTGGCGATGACCTAAGAAGACTATTTCTTTGTTCTTTAGCCACACACTTGAAGTATTCTCCTCACATATCAAACATGCATATTTTCCCTTAATCTTATAACTAGATAGGTTACCATATGCTCGGTAGTCACTGATTTTTGAAAGAATCATAACACGTAATGTGAAACACTCTTGACGATAAGCATCAAAAACTATGACACCATGAATCCACATTTCCTTCAAGTCATCAATCATTGGGGCTAAGAATACATCAATGTCAATACTCGGATGTTTAGGCCCAGGTATTAACAACAATAGCATGATGTACTTCCACTTCATGCACAACTCTAGAGGAAGATTGTAAATGACATGCAGTACCGGCCAAGTACTATGTTGCGTACTCAAGCTTCCAAAAGGATTGATCCCGTCAATACACAATCCCAATAGAAGGATTCTCCCCTCGTTCCCAAAATCGGGAAATGTGTAGTCAATCGTCTTCCACCGTGGGGCATCGGCAAGATGACGCAGGGTGTCATTATCTTTTCGCTACTCTGTGTGCCACACTAGATTCTTTCCATCCTTTATCGAAGCAAATAGACGCTTGAACGTTGGTATTATTGGAAGGTAGCACAAAACCTTAATCGGAGTCTTTTTTGTTTTTTTTCATAATGTCCTTGTTATGAATGATTTTGGTCGACTCCTTTTATCTTGGAGCAAAACACTTGGAACATTCGTCGAGATCCTAGAACTCATTTCGAAATAAAATGCAATCATTAACACAAGCACGTATCTTCTTGTACCCCTCCCCAATTAGAGATATTATTTTCTTTGCCTCATAAGTGGATGATGGCAATTCATGTCCATTTGGAAGAAGTTCACCCAACAAACTTAATAAGGATGTGAAACTTTTTTCATTCCACCCATTTTCTAGATTTAAATTGAACAATTCCAAAACCTCTTTCAAACATGTAAACTTTGTACAACAAGGATAAAACATGTGTTTTGAGCTTCCTACTAAACTCTTATACATATCACGCTCTTCATCCATGACGGCTTGATCAAGAGGAACATCTTGAGTGGCCCCTAACTCATCTTCCATTTCAACCTCAAAATCGTGGATGTCGTTAATATCATCTTCGACTTGTTCATTATGAGTATAGCTAGAGCTGCATGGATTTTCTAACTCACCATGCCATTTCCATCGCAGGTATGTTGGGTCAAAACCCTTGCGATACACATGTAGTCTTATATCTTTAACGCTATCAACTATAAAATGGTTATGACATAAGTTACAAGGACAATATATCTTTTTTCCTTATTTTGAATGTTTCTCTACAAAACGAATAAACTCTTCCAAATCAGAACTAAACTCAGGTGATGTACACCACATATGAATCCAACTTTGATCCATCTGTTAGAATAAAGGACCAACGCTAGAGGGGGGGGTGAATAGCGTTTGATCGTAGAAATCGCAGGAATTAAAAAATTTAAAGGAGAAGAAAAGAGAAAGGTAAGAGGCACACCGAATTTACCCTGGTTCACCACAACTTGTGGCTAATCAAGCCTCCCGAGAGACTCTCTCAAGCTACACTACTTCCGTTAAGCTTACGGGTGCTTAACAAACCGTTACAACCTATGAACTCGAGTCCCACGAGCCTCAACAACACTTGCTCAGAGATACCGCACTCCAAGACTTCAACTCGAAGGAAAATACCTTTCCTTCGTACAACCAAGGGAAACAAGCTTCCCTTAACGTGTATACAACACTAAGACACTCAAGAACAAGACTCTCCTCAAGAGTGGATATTGAGTAAAATATATACGCTCAAGAAAAACTCAAACTTCACTCGAATTGGCTCTAAGAAGCTATGAAAACTGATGTTGTTTGAATGAAATGATAGTATGAATATTGTGAAGTGAATTGATGTGTAAAGCAGACCCAAAGACCCCTTTTATAGTGCCAAAATAGGCTCCAACGGATCAATGCATTAATGGGGTGATTGGCTTGATTTGTGGGATTGATTAAAATGTGGATCTGCAGGATATTGGCTTCACAGCGATGTATGGACCTTACCCATCGCTGGTAAGCCAATTTTTCTTCAGTTTTGAAGCCAACGGTCACCTACCCATCGATGGGTACAAGCTTCCCATCGCTGGGTGGGAGGTTGACTTCTAAACAAGGAAAGAATCAACCTTAAATAACTTACAACGGTCATGCCTTCCCAGCGATGGTTATGCCTTCCCATCGCTGGGTTCCCATCGATGGGTAAAGGTTCCATCGCTGGGTAAGGGCATTCTGCCTTGTGTTAATGTTGGACCAAGGCTTTAACAGCGATGGGTAGAACTTCCCATCACTCTTTGGCATGGTTCTGGAACTTGGTTGGGCTAACGGACCGCTTACCCATCGATGGGTAGTTCCTCCCATCGCTGGGTGGATGGTTAGTCAAAAACCCATGGTTTTTGCCTTAACCACGGCCTAGCCAAACGATGCAAAAACCGACCGAAAAATCCAAAGTTCTCCAAAATAAAAACCAAGTGTTTAAAACACTTATTTGATGTATTTGGATAATAAATCAAGTGAGACACTTTAAAAACCACGACATTTGAGTAAAAACCACGGCTAGCCAACTTTATGCCATTTTGCGTGATTTTTTCCAAACGACCAAAAACGAAAGGTGGTTTTCAAGGTGTTTTTGTTGGAGAACTGTTTAAACATGCCAAAGAGTAAAAACCAATCATAAAATGTTGAAAACCAGTTGGTTGGTTTGGACGCCAAAAACCAACCCCGAAAACCGAATGCCGAACGCCGGTTTCTGAAAGCCGAACGCCGGATGGCTTGGTTTTTGGTTTGGGCGAACACCAAGTGTTTTTAATGTCTTAAACAAGTTTGAAAAACATTTTTATGATATTATAAATGCAAAAATAGATTTTAGCCTAAAAAGCCAAGGCGTGAGGTTTGGGTCGGTCTTGATCACATTTGTGACCGACTCAACGACACTAAGACAATGGTCTTCGTTCTTGGTCTTCTTTTAGCTTTTGTTCTCTTTCTTCTCATCTTTGGTCTCGCCTTCTATATTCAACGACTTGTCTCGTTCTCGGCGGTTTGGCATTTTCAAAATCTGTCACAAAAACAAACACGGCTTTAGTATGAAAACGTGACAAACCCGTGTTTCAACAATAATGGCAAACAAGACGAGGTTATGCATAGGAGGATTATTTTAAGACTTTAAAAAAATATTCTCCCTTAATAAATATAATTTGATTTTTAACAAAGTGTTTGAGATTTAAAAAAAATTCCTCCTCAATTAATGCATAACCTTTATATCTTCCCCCTTTTAACATTAACAAAAAGAATTAAAAGTAAATTTTTATTCATTAAAAGGGAAATGCGGAATACAATGGAATGGAAATAATTAAAAATACAACAATATTAAAAGAAAAATAAGAAGAGTCTAGGAGTCGGTGTCGGTGTCCTCATCGTCATCCTCGTCCTCGATGTCCATGGGATCGCCGTCCACCACGTCTTCAAAGTCAGACGGAGCATAGGATTCATCATCCTCCTCCTCGCCTTCAAAGTTTTGGCCGAGGATGGTGCTGTCAAAGGGCGGCGGGACGTAGTTGATGCCGCGGAAGAACACCGTCATGTCGTGGTGTTGGCGCTACAACGTCCAGTCCATCCGCTCGATTGACTGCCCCATGTCGTCCACCGTGAGGGTTAGCCGATTCAGGGTGTCGGCTATGGACTGCAAAAAGGCCCGGGCGGGAGCGAGGGCCGAAGCAGGGGCAGAGGCACGGGCACTACTCGGTCCGGTGTCGTCTCGGTCTCCGGACTTCTTCCGGAAGGTGCTGTCTTAAATGACCCAAATCTTCATCATCTTCGTATCCGAGCCGGCGATGTGGATGTCGGAGGCGACAATGAGAACCATGACAAGGAAGGCGTACGGCAAGCTCTGCTCGGTGGTGATGGAGGCGCAATCCGCCATGTGAATCATGACGTATTTTGCCCAATTGATGGAGGCTCCGTGGATGATAGCATGAATCGCCTTCAAATCCTTGTTGAAGAGCAAGGTATGGCTACTGTCTCAGGGGCGAAGAATCTGGGTGATGATGTAGAGGAGGAGGCGCTTGTCCGGTGGGGCCGAGTGAATCGTTGGCGCGCCGCTGTGGCGGATGAGGTTGGTGATCCCAAGCTCTCAGATGACCACTACCTCGTTGTTGAGGATCCAATCGTTGTCACCGTATGTCGCGATGTCATCGCCTCGGATGGGCAGCCCTGCGATCCATGCAAAGGTCGGCAAGTCAATCTCTATGTCGTAGAGATTGATGCTGATGCGGATGGTGTCCCCATCGCGGCGGAGATTTGAGTAAAACGCCCGGACGAAAGCGGGATTGAAGCTCGTGCGGCTCTTGGAGACGAAGGGCCACAAACCCGGCGCTTGGAGTTGGTTGTTGAGCTCATGGTACCCCTTTTCTTAGGGAAACAACTCCGGGAGCACGCGAGGCGGAGAGATCGGGCGTTTGGCGAAGTGCGTGATGAAGCGAGTGAGTTCTTCCTCTGAGCCAAACTCGAGGAAGGATCCATCAAGTTACGGAAAGGGTTGAGGCGCAGAGCTCGTAGCCTCGGCCGGACCTTTCTTCTTGGACGCCTTGGTCTTCTTCCCTCCGGCCATTGTTGAGACAAGAAAAAGATTGAGATTTATGTAGAATAGGCTAAAGAGTGAAGATTGTGATGTTTAAAGTGTTTAAAAAATGGCCAAAGGTGATGGGAATATATAGGGAGAGAGGTTAAAGGCCGTTTGAATTCAAAATTATAGCTGTTGGGCATTTAATTTGGTTCCCAACGGTTATTATATTTTTGAATTTCAGCAGGCCTCCCAGTGATGGTATGATCTACCCATCGATGGGAAGGTCACCACTGGAAAGCACGGAAGATGTCAAGGCTGCCTTCCCAGCGATGTGTGGATTCTCCCATCGATGGGAAGGTGGCTACTGGCAAGTGCAGGAGTATTGAAAAAGGTCCTTCCCAGCGATGTTTAAACTATCCCATCGCTTGGTAGAGTAGTTTTGAACTCCGTTAAAAAAAATTTTAAAAATTAGTGTCAAACACCCAGCGATGGGAGAAAGTTCCCATCGATGGCTAGGGAGGTTCTAGAAAGAATTTTTAAAACGAATGTCAAACACCCAGCGATGGGAGGATGTTCCCATCGATGGGTAGTGGAATTCTGGAAAACCATTAAAATGTTTTAAAAAACATTGAGTCAGGTGGCCAGCGGTGGGAGGGAGTTCCCATCGATGGGTAGAGAGGTTCTGGAAAGAAAGGACTTCCCTCCCAGCGATGGTATAAGCCACCCATCGCTGGTTCCCCCTGACTTCCTGATTCCCTCACTTCGAACCGTCCCTGCAAAAAAGAACAACACTTTGGTGCCCAAGGTATGTCTATGGGTCCTTGGGGGTTAGTTAAGTTTTGTTTCCCACTCACACACCCAAAAATCTGTTTCCTTATACGAGCACATACACACACACGATTAGATGATCGTTTAGGAATTAACTTTGCCAACCCGTCATTTCGTGGTTGGCGGGTTCCAGTCTACCTGAACAGAGTGCCGATATCTCAGTGTGATTTGTGTCGGTTCCGGTAATGGAATGTGAACTTTCTTCTTTTCGTCAAAGTAGAAGAAAAAATACGGTTTATTTTGTGCATTATCCTGTGGAGATTGTTTAAGATTCGAATATCCTTTTCTAAAGGATTTCTTTTCGCTAGCACTAAATATGTTGTGTGTTTCATTAAAGGTCAAGTGCCTATGTCTGGTGAAACACACGGGAGCTATATGTCTTACCTTATTGCAATAATGGCATACTACGTTTTGGTTGAACATATGCCTAGGTTGGTAATAGCTAGGGCGTCTAACTATATTCATCCTATTTTCAGAAAATATTGGTTTTTGGGTATTTTGAATATTCTCTCTTCTAGGTGTTCTAAAATTATTTCTGTGCATAAAATCATTTTGATAATTCCTCCTAGGTTGCCTAGAGGGCTCGTGTTCATGACTAACCTTTTGTCTAGGTTGTCTATTATTTTTATTTTTATCTTTCTTAGGTTGAGCTCTAGGTGGTTTATGGTTGTGCTCAACTTTTTCTTTATTTTTAGGTCCATCAATCTTCCCAAAACCTATTCCTTATTTAGTGTATTGCATAGAATCAAAAATGAGATTAAGATCCTTATGTGGTTTATTAAATTTCTTCACCGTGTTTTCTAATTCAGCAACTTGTTCTTTTAAAGCTATGCAAGAGTCACAATGTTTTGTAGAGCTCTCGGGTTTGTCGGCGCTTCTTTTACCATAAAATTTATTTTCCTCTTTTAGTTTTTCGTTTTCCTTTTGAAGTTTTTCAAACTCAGTTTCAAGATTAGAAAAACGTTTCTTTAAAGCTTTGTGGGTTTTAAAAGCGCTAACAAACTCGTCATAAAGCTCTTGGAGAGCTTCTTGAATTTCTTCAAGAGAATAAGAACCGGTAGAAGAAATACGCACCTCTTGGTTTTCGTTGTTGGCGGGCTCCTCTTCTTCTTGAGCTATGAGACAAAGGTTTGCTTCCTCGTGTTCCTCTTGTTCGCTTGATTCATCGCCGGAGTCACCACCCCACGAGAGTATGCTCTTTGCTTTTTGAAGTGACGAGCATTCCTTCCGCTTCTTGGGCATTTGTTCTTGATGTGCCCGGCTTCACCACATCCATAGCACACAGGGCCATCCTCAACCTTTTCTTTCTTCCTTAGAAGTTTGCAAAACTTCTTCATGACAAGCTAGACTTCATCATCGTCGCTTGAGTCATTCATCGTTGGTTCTTTGAAGGCTTTTAATGCTATGCCTTTCCTTTGGTCATTCAAAGACGGGTTAAGTATATTAGATTCATAAGTTTTTAAATTACCTCTTAAACCGTCGATGGTGACATTTGATGTGCCGATTGACTCATAGATGGCATCGGCCTTGGATCGCCATTCGGATGTCAAGCTCCGTAGGATCTTTCGCACAAGATCCCTGTCGGTGTAAGTCTTCTTTAATGCGTAAAGATCATTGACTATCTTGGAAAATCAGTGGAACATGTCGTTGATCTTCTCGTCTTCCTTAATTCTAAACATCTCGTACTCCTGCGTTAGGAAGTCAATTTTGGCTTCCCGAACTTGATCTGTACCTTCATATGTGACCTCCACCTTGTCCCACATTTCTTTGGCAGTGTTGCAGCAAGAGATCTTGCGATAATCATCGGGGTTGACTGTGCAGTAGAGCATATTGATCGCCTTAGCATAGTTCTCCACCTTTTTGATGTCTTCGGCATCAAATTCATCCTCGGTCTTTGGGACGAGTTTTTCACCAACCTTCTTCATTGGCGTTTCTTCACCATTCTTGATGACCAACCACAATTGGAAGTTGGTTGAGCGGATATAAATTCTCATATGCTCTTTCCAATATGTGTAGTTGGTGCCATCAAAGAGTGGTGGCCTAGAAGTTGATTGACCTTCTCCGATCCCTGCATAAAGATTTCTAGAAGAAGAACCCATGATCGCTTTACTCTCAAACGGTTAAGTTTGGACGCAAGTTAGGCTCTGATACCAATTGTTAGAATAAAGGAAAAATGCTAGAGGGGGTGAATAGCGTTTGAACGTAGAAATCGTAGGAATAAAAAAATTTAAAGGAGAAGAAAAGAGAAGAGTAAGAGGAACACCGAATTTACCCTGGTTCACCACAACTTGTGGCTAATCCAGCCTCCCGAGAGTGTAACGCCCCAAAACATACCCTAGAATTATTAATGAATTATTAATTAATTAATCAAATTTGTTTTGATTAAAAATAAATTGTTGTTGGGCCTTGGGCCAAAATAAAATATGTTTTGATATCCAATATCATGATCCGGATAAATCTCATAGAGATTAATCCAATATGTTGACTTACTGTGTGACCTTGATTGGGAACCTGAGTACAGACCCAAATCAAGGATAAATTAAGAAATTTATTAATGATATGAACTTTGAAATGATTTATTGAAATAAATCATGAGAATAAATAATATGAATGAAATGTAAGAACCTTTTTGAGTAAAGGTCAATTAAATCAATTTTGACTCTGTCAAAGTCAACCACCTAAAAATATGATGTCGGAAAAAGTATTACTAATAAATATGAAAATTATATCGTTTGATAGAGTTTAATTATACGATCACAACGGTGCAAACGGATTTCAATTCGGAGAAAGTTGGACCAAAAAGTGTTCCCCGACTGGGACCATATTAGTCCCAATCAGGGACTTACGTATAAACTCTGTCGGAGCCGCAGCCCCCTCCACTGAGACGCCAAAACAGTGTTAGGGAGGTCATCTCCCATGGCTTCTTCCCCTTCCTCCTTCTTATATAAACCCTCCAAACTTCACCATTTCTTCACCATTTTCCTTCAAATAAACTCTGAGAGAAAGCTGTGAGTGTGGAGAACGAAGTTGTGCTGTCAATTTGGTGTGAAGTCGCCAGAGCAAGCTACAATCCTCGCCGGAAGTTTCGCCGGAAAATTCTCAAAACCTTCGATAAGCTTCGAGGTAAGCCCGTAGATATATTTAGTGACTAGAATGTTCGTATAGATCGTCTCTACGTTTATAAACGGTCGTTTGGTTGAGTTTTGTGTTTGACATGCTTGAAGAACCAAGAAT